CCCCGGGACGGATACAGGAGCAGGTTGGCATTTCAACCATGGCACTTCTACACTCACTGGACTGGCATCCAGACGTGGGACAGCCGATATCCTATTATGTAAGCGGCAGATAAAAAAAATCAATCACCTAACGTCCGTGGGTTACGGTTACTGAAACGCCACTGCCACTGGATCCGTCTGCACAGCATTTTTTCTCTCTCTCTCCCGTCTTTTTAGTTTGCCCCCGTTTTTTTGCGCGCGTGTGTGCGCTTGCTCGGTGTGCACACGCGTGTGTATTTGTACGGGTTTGCACGACAACAACAACAACAACAACAAAAGGTAAAGGCGCACTCCTGGAATGCAGTCGCTCGCTTATGCCAACGCTGGCCGAAGGTACTCCACAACTCCAACAGAGTACCACCCCTCTCGACAGAGAATGTTGGCTTGCTCTTACACACTGGCCACACATCTTGGAAGCGGTAGGAGTGCCCACACTTTACTCCACAGATCGACTAATTGGAGCGTGCCCACGAATACCACTGGGTGAATAGCGGCAGGACATTCACCGTTTCATTCTTTAAGCTACCGCGCCAGGTGGTTCGAATCGAACCGTCTTCTTCCGGATCGCAGGTTCCATCGTGCGCGAAACAATCCAGCCGCCGTGGCTGTCACGCGTTACCGATCCTGCGTTTCATTTCCTATGATGATACGCGACTGTGTAACATCACAGCCAAGGGTGGGTCCGCGGGTTTGTTTTATTAGTTTGGCGGTGGACAAGAGCCCTCCGAAGGCGAGGTTTTCGAAACGCTCGATTGCGTGCCCGCGCGTGGCACAAGCGGACAAATCGAATTACCGGACCACAGCGGTCCTCCCAATAGTTCTCCGCTGCCCGCGGTGGTTGAATGAAAGCGCCCATTTTCGGCGTCACTCAAAAACAAAGGGCTGCTTGAGCCGATTTTTTTGGCCCGCGGAAGAGACATCCTGTACCCGGTAGCCGTGCCCCGTAATCTGCGTGCCCCATGACCATGGTGATCAGGGGGGAAACCTTGAAAGGGAACGTTATTAACCTGCTCTTTTCGTATTTTCACTTGAGTATTTCTGTGCTGATGTAAGACGATAGCTTCTTAAGTGATTGTGTGGTCTAGCTTAGCGTGGAGCTAAAACAAATTCTTTAACCGTGCGTGTAGACGCTGTTGTGGTTAGCAGCACACTGAACTTGCAATCTGGAGATCGCAAGTTAAATTCTATCTGCTGGCGCGGTAGTTGAAACGGTGATGCAAGTTTCTTATCTGCCCCCTCCCGCCGCCTCTGCTCACCCAGTCATATCAATGGGTTCACTGCATTGATATCGATCAGCAGGCCGTGTGCGGTGGGGTAAAGTGTGGGTTACTCCCACCTATTCGAAGACGTCTTGCCAGCGTGGACGAGAAAGCCAAAATGCTAAATGCAGAAAATAGCCTCTAGTGGAGGCCTTTCTGCCAGCATGCAGCATGTCCAAGGAATTGCAGGGCTGTACCTTTACCTGTGTAACGGTGAGCCCTGCGTGCATGTCTGGTGGAGGGGGTGGGGGTACTGCTTACTTGCCCTCAGCTCCTCCTTCTCCAGACGTCCCGTTGTGTTGACATCGACGCGGCTTGCTGCGGAGGAATTCCCAAGGCGGGGACAACTTCAATTTTTTTTTTTTACAGATTTGCACCGAGCAGACTACATTTCCGAAAGCAGAGTCGAATATGTAGAAATATTTTCGTTGAAATGTCCCATGAATAACAAAACACCGCTCCCCTACCTCCACTACCTCCACCACCACCACTATCCCGTCCCTATCAAAACGGCGTTTACGACGGATTAACTTTCTCGCAGCTGCTCGCGCATTGTCGGGAGAACTTTTTCTATGGGGAGTGCAAAAGGTCATTCGCTCGTTCGGAAAAGGACCGATGGGTTTGTGTGTCGGGGGGGGGCGGGGGGGGGCGCGGGGGGAGTATTTCTCCTTCTTCACAATCCCCCTCGTTTGCCACCCCCCCCAAGGGAACCGTTCTCATCGTCGCCCCATTGTGTCGCCAGCGGCCTGCGTGAGGGGCGCACAATGAATGCGTCTCTGTTACGTCTAACATTTCCACGAATAACAATGGGCACCATTAAGCATTATTTGCGAGTAATTTAGGGAATGCGCACGTATATGCATAACAGGAATTTAATTTACGAACGGTAGTTTTTTTTTTCGAGTCAACGGTCGAAGTGATTTTAACAAGTTCGCCTTTCGCCGATGGGAAAGCCACAGTAAAGTTTTTTTTGTTCGGGTTAAATCGCGTAAATAAAAATGTGTCGTTAAATTCGCCACCAGCCGACGCAGCCAATTAATAAGCTTTGTCACGTTAACAAAACGTGGCAATTCGTTACTACTTCGGCACACAGGTGTGTTGGTGAGTCAACCCACAACGAAGTGATTTCCTGGCTCAAATCGAGCACCAAGGCATAGTCTTTGGGTCTTTCGGTAAAGTCACGTAGAACAAAAAATTAACAAAAACGACGACGTTTCGATCGCAACACAAGCAATCGTCATTGCAATCGTCATTGCTTGTGTTGCGATCGAAACGTAGTCGTTTTTGTAACAAAAATTGTTCAACGTGACTTTACCGAAAGACCCAAAGAATATGAATTACTGCAGTCATGAAAGCTTGAAGTCAACACCAAGGCATAGGTGCTCATCTTCTGTATGCAGCCCTGACCCAGTGGCAGAAAGTTCCACGTTCCTATGGCGGGGCGAGACAACTGCACCTCCGATTAGCACGGTTGGCTACGGACATAAACACAACCGATGTTTCTTTTTTTCCTTTTCTCAAGCAAGAGAGGCATTAAACGAGTTGAGAATTTAGACTGTCGATACTCATGATCTCACAGTGCTGGTGTGCTCTCCTTCTAATAGCGTGGGCTTTCACGTGGATTCTCCGAGCTGGGAACTTTACCAGCCACGAGGCTCAGAGCTAGAGCGAGGAGCTCGCAATCGCAAAGTTCAGAGTTCAAGTGCAGGTGAAGTGTGTGTACTGACCACAAGTCTACAGTGGCCTTTTGATAAGAGAGATTTGCGCCAGGCATAGGAATGTGGAATGTTTCACCACTTGCTGTACAGGGCGACGGTGTTTCGATGCTCATTTGAGCCGGTAATTCACTTTTGTTTGTCCTGATGAAGTCTCATTGGACATCTGTGGAAAAGAGATTCACAGCTCATCGGATTTCTCCACGATAAATAAAGATTCAGATTCTGATGCATTGGCAGGGGAGATAATGGAAGACAGGGAACAAGCTTTGAATTACGTTTCAATAAATTAACGGGCCTTCATTAACACGTAGGGCTTTCGCAACCAATATTATTCATAATCAACATTTTTGGGTTTAGATCGCGTTATTTATAAATGTGTCGTAACCCTCCACCACCCGACACGGCCAATCAGTAAAAAAGTGTCACGTTGACAAAAGATACAACATACAAGATGAGTTAATGAGTTAATGATGACGTCACCCTGCTGCTGCTCTATATAAGAACGGGAGACAGAGGAGAGCCTCACCATTCTGGCGAATTGCCCGATGATGCTGGATGCAATTACCAGCGAAAACGTCGTACTCAAATTGTAAATGTTGTGGTTTCACGCTTCAACACACCGGTGGGCTAAAGCAGTGAACTATTTGTATTTTGTCAACGTGACACTTTTTTACTGATTGGCCGTGTCGGGTGGTGGAGGGTTACGACACATTTATAAATAACGCGATCTAAACCCAAAAACGTTGATTATGGGCCTTCATTAGTTACCCTTGGCTACACTGCGTGGATCCTCCAGTCTAGTTGCCCCACTAACTTGAAAATAATTCGCAGGTTGCCGGGTAGCTCAGAGCTCTGAGCAATGAGCTGTCATCGCTAAGATCCCGGGATAGAAATCTGGGTTTCAGTCGCCCATGATGAAACAAGTTGATCAAGAATAGTGAGCTGATGGTCTCAGCGCGGTCACCAATGACTGAACATAAACCCATCGTATTAATTGGCATTCCCAATTAGCTCTACTTAACTTGGGGAAACCACGTGCCAGCAGCGTCTCCTACCAGCAGGCGATACCTGTCTGTGAAACGTATAGCGCCTTCGTGATAGCCTTCCATTAGCGTGCAACAAATGTTTATCTGATGCAAAGCGTGTGGGGAACGTGTACATCTTTGCACTTGGAAAATAAAAAATGGTCACTCTAACGCATTTCAGAAGTAGTTCTGTGAAATCCACTTGCAGGGGCTCTGCGTGATGCCTTATGAATGTCCACTTCGTCTCATGATACGATACCGGTAGGACAGTTGGAACAAACATTTTGTGGGAAAAATTGATACTTAAAAAAAACATTGCCTCTAAATTCTCATCCAAACAAGCCTGTTGTGAATTGAAACTGTGCCATGCTACTGCGAGGTTTTAGCGGCCGTATTGCTGTGAAACCTTCCGATGCGTTTTCGGGCTGTACCGCGTGTGTCGTTCGGCACGATGTCCGACGTTTCGCGGGACACATGCTGGGAGCTTCTGTTCGCGCTCATTGATGCTCCATCGTGCCAGACGACACGCGGAACAGCCTGAAAAAAACAACGCGTGGCACACCATTGCCTGGTAATGCTTCCGCTGTTGCATTGGCAGTGGTCCACCAACACAACTAACAAACACAACTCTAAACGTTCATTGTCAATATCAACAACTGTGTGGCCTTGTATGTATGTATGTTGAACTTCTTTCGCAACGTACGTAGCCAACCGTGCTAATCGGAGGTTCATGTGGAAGGACAACAAACTAAACACAAAAAGCAGTTCTAAAAAAATGAGTTTTCAATCCAGATTTCAAAAGTGCATGGCTCCCAGTGGCTTCCTCACATCGGAAGGAAGAGGAAGATGGTGGAGTCGGCAATGTTTCGGGCAAAGTCTGTTCTTCGCAGTACATGGAGAGAGGCCACCGGGGCAAGAGTGACATCAGAAAGCCCAGACCGTGCCGTGTTTCCCACCAGGCTCGCCGAACGTGTGCTACGCGTACGCCGGCGACGGGCTCTGCGAAGAATTCGAGAAGGAGGGCAGCGGGCTGGACTGTGGCATATTCACGCCTCTGGGTCACGTGGATCAGTGGGCGTCCCAGGCCACGGCCTCCCACCAGGACAGCCTCCACTGCCCAGCCAGCGTCCTCGTGGGCCCTCCGGCCCTGTCGAAGGTAAGCGGTCGTCTTTTGCTTCGGGCAGTGACGGTGACCCAAGAGGGCAGTGGTCCTCATTTTCTTTGGGTCCTTCGGTAAAGTCACGTAGATAGGTTCAAAGAAATTAACAAAAAACCACGACGTTTCGATCGCAACACGAGCGGTCCGTGTGCTGCGAAACGTCGTAGTTTTTTGTTATTTTCTTTGAACCTATCTACGTGACTTTACCGAAAGACCCAAAGCATATGAAGTTCTGCAGCCACGAAAGCTTTAAGTCAAGGGCAGTGGTCTTCACGAATTTTCACGGGGGGAGAGGGGGGAGAGTGGGGGTGCACTTTCGCTGATAAGACTTCAGTACGATGGCCGCCACACCGCTTGCAAGACAAAATCATTGGCGTGTTGTGTATTATTGTAGAGGACCAGACGTCAGGGGTCGCACTGAAGGCCAACAGAGACCGCCAGTGGCCCACGGGCCTTGCAATGAAGAACGCTGCGATGAGGCTTTGTTTTGTGAGCGAATGTGTTGGTGAGGTGACCACAGGGTGGATTGCAGATTCGTTTGATTTTCGTGGAAGTGTGAGGGATTCTTCAACGGCCAGGAGGTGTGAGTTAGGATGATGTCGAGGATAGGTGGTGTTTTTTGGGTGAGAATAAAGCTGGTGATGGGCGATTGGGATTCGACGATGATGGGTGATGGTTAATGAATATTGATGGTGGTGGAGGATGATAAGGTGACGATGTTAAGGACGACAGTGGTGGTGGATGATGATAATGATGGTGGTAGTGGTGGACAATTATGATGATATCTCTACTTTTCTGCCAAAACTATCAAAACTATGTTTTTACCTGCAGTGAAAACAAATCGTTTTAAAAAAACTCTCTATATAGCTGTTGAAGCACAACATCTACAGACACACGTGGCAGTAGGCACAGTGTCTATTTCCGAGGGTTGGCAGTCCACCCCTCTCCCTGCCAGGTACACCTTCACGCCCACAACAGCATAGACACGTCTTGAGCAACTGCAGCAGATTAAATACGTATTTTTTTTAATGTATCCACTCAATTGTCTGTTCAGACGCAAGCACTGCATGTGCAGCGGGCAACAGAGGCTCGGGAAGTAAGGGGGGGGGAGGGTGGTCGAGGGTGAGTGGCTGGGTGTTTTCACGACACGCACTCATCCAGATTAGTGGGCAAAACAAAAAAACGATTGACGCACAAAGTGATATAATTGCGGCCTGCCCATTGGCTGAAGGGCAGAGAGCGCCACGTGCACTTGACCTGGCCACGCTGCGACGTACCTGTGGCTTTCGATCGCCCCTTGAGGGGGCGAATGAGAATTTCCCGAGATGCTTTTGCAGTCGTGCGTCATAGAATAGCGCGTGTCACTTGCGGCTTGCGTTTTTTTTGTTTTTGGGGGGGGGGGGGGGGTGGTGTGCGAAGGTGGAGGAAGGGAGATGACAAAAAAAATACGACCCCAGCGATCGGCTTGGCTTTGAAGGAGCGGGGCTCGAAGCCACTCGAATTCCCGGTTCTCGTGTGCACGTGACCGTGCCTTGACCCGGTGTGTGCGTGTGTGTGGGGAGCGGTGGTGCAGCGGTTAGCGCGCTGCGCTGTGAACCTGGCGACCCGGGTTCGATTCCCGCTCACGGCCGACACCAGTGATCGACTCAGCTTGAAATGAGTACCTGGTGCGGTGTGCAGTAAACATCGCCACTGGGGAGACAAAGGCGGTCGGGCGTGGTGCTGGCCCACCCCACCCCCTCGTGTACTGTTCCGGCCTTTATAGGTGCTCGCTAACAGCACTTGCCCCTACAGTCTGTTAAGGCTATACGGGGGATTTTTGTCTTTGGTGGTGGTGGTGTCGGCGGGCACACAACGGGTCCGATTTGGGCACTTTTCGTGGGCGATGAGAGAGAAAAAAAAACGCCGTCACGAGAGGAGAACGAGCGCAGGCCCGCGGTGCGGGTCGATGATTTAAGGGCGGGTACTCGCAAACAGCGGGGATAAAACGTCACGGATTTTTATTTAAAACAACTAATTATTAGGCGATGTTGCGTTTGCAGCGGTGCACAAGCACACGCAACAATAACAACACAAATCAACACATTAATCGGGTGACATGTTGCACACATAGATGTACTGTGCAGAAGGGTTATTGCCCAAAACGTCACATTAAGTGTTTCCTTTGAAAGCCACTGCTGTTGATAAACGCGTTGAGTTTTTGGTAATCTGCGTTATGCCAAACGCCGGGGGGGGGGTGTAGAGGGGGGGACCCTTCCAGGTGCGCTGGAGTGTTTTTATTGTTGTTGTTGTTTTTGTTGTTATTGTTGTCGCGCCCTTTACGTCGGATTTCTCGTCGGTCGGAACGAGCGGCGACGCTCGTTTCATCGTCCCCTCCCCGGCCCGGCTTTCCCCAGCCGAGGGCTAAGAAGAAGAGGAAGGAGGAGCAGGCCAAGTCAATTAACTAAAACGGTCACCACGGAGCCCATAAATCTACGACGGGGGGGGGGACGCGGGTGGAGTGGGGGGCGGAGGATTGCACCCCAGTCCTCGGCCCGGCTTTGGGAAGCAAGGGAGATGCTCAGCGCTAGCTCAAGGAACAAAGATCTCTGCGTGCAGTGCAGAGCTGGCGTTCGGAAGGTCGAGACGGTGGAGGTTTGGGGATTGGGGTGATTTTTCGATGTAAAGCTTTCGTGACTGCAGGGATTCATCTTCTTGGTTCTTTCGGTAAAGTCACGTAGAAGGGAAATAATAAAATAATTAAATTTTTATATAATAAAATCATTCTCACGACGTTTCGGCCACAACGCAAGCAGCCGTCCTCAGGTGAAGAACAGGTCTGTCGGGAAGACAGCGTCTGAATGAAACACCACCATACCTGTTCTTCACCTGAGGACGGCTGCTTGCGTTGTGGCCGAAACGTCGTGAGAATTTTTTTATTGGTTTATTTTTATTATTTTATTATTTCCCTTCTACGTGACTTTACCGAAAGAACCAAGAAAGTGGGATGATGTGGAGGTAAAGGGGCAGTCCTGAAATTGCTCCGCTCAGGCCACCGCTGAACAAAGGGCCTCTGCTCCAGGGAGTTCTCAGAGATTTCTACTCCTCTGCCACATTGGTTCTCTGAGTCTTGGAAGGGATATGTTAATAATAATGATGTATATTTTTTACAAATATAGTACGAAAAAATTGAACGAAAAAAGATCAGTCATGTGGAAAGAAAATCATGAAGCAGGAGACATTTGAATGGTACATCCGTTGACATCATCACTTCGGTAATAATTCATCACTTCACGTTGAGCCTGCACTCGTAAAGCATTGAGCATCTAGGAATATTTTTTTACGTTGCAATTGCTTTCTCAAACCGCTGCCGAAAAAAACATAAACGGCCTCCACTAGTGGGCACATTCTACAGAGCCCCTTCAGAGGGTATGTCAGCCTTCTCTCCCACGTTGGCCAGACGTCTTAGAAGAGGTGGGAGTCACGCGCACGCAACCTGCCGATCGACTGACTACAGCGGAACCCATTTATTCTGCTGCTGTTGGGTGGACAGAGGCGGCTGCGAGGGCTTTGTGAGATTTAAGAAATCTTTCCCAATTGCGCATCGGCACTGACAACCTCCGTTGGAAAGCGTCAGATTTCCGCACCTCCAGTTCGCGCGGTTGACTACGCACGGTGCGAACGAGGTTCAACGTACGTTCTTACGTACACGGGCGTTCAAGAGACACTTAAAAGGCTCCAGTTCTTTCTTAAAGGCTTACCCTCTTTCGCCTGGCTTTCAAGTAACACTGAGCTTGGCTCCGTGCGTCTTGAGTCACGGTCATTTATGATGTGTGTAAAATATTGTTTGCGTTACAAATCGCACTCTGAGTTTTATTATTCATCCACTCGTTGATTAACCATGTCTCGTAAATAAAAAAGATCTATGACACACAAAGGCCATCTACAGATTTCCTCGCTATCAAACAACCGCTCCGATTAGCACCTGCGATTAGCACGGTTGCCTACGTATGGGGCAAAAAAAGTTCAACATACAATACATTTCACACTTGTTTTTACCTTTGCTGTTCAGGCACTACTGGTAGGAGAGCTAACCTCCCCCCACCACCACCATAGGTTAAATGTGAAAAGCGAAGCTTCCTATTGATTTACTCTGCATTTGTGCAAAGCATTCCGTGTGGGCAAATCCTCCCTGCCCCGCCCCCCATCCACAACCTCCAGTGACCTTTATCACATTAATCAGAGGTCCTCTACTGGGCACTGGCCCCAGCGGCAGTTAATCCCAAGCCCTCTAAACCGTCGCCCCTTTTCCATAGAGGAGTCAGCCTGGGTGGCTTGGCCGCCTCTTTGCTTCCTGGGTGGCATTGCCCGTGGTTGATTCGGCCATCCTCTCTCTCCGTCGTCGTCAAAGCCACCCTACACAGCATTGCGACCTGGTTGTTGATTCTGCTCGGCGCGCGTGTGAGCGTGCGTGCGTGCGTGGCGCTTTGTGCCGCTGCGCTACGAACCCGGCGACCCAGGTTCGATTCCCGCTCAGGGCCAACACAGGTGACGATTATCTGAACCGGTCCCGGGCCTCTGCTAGGGCGACTCGGCTTCAAATTAGTACCTGGTGCGGTGTGTAATCATCGCTACTGGGGAGACAAAGGCGGTCGGGCGTGGTGCTGGCCACCCACCCCCTCGTGTGATGTTCCTGCCTTCATAGTTGCTCGCTGACAGCACTTGCCCCTACGGTCTGTTAAGGCTATACGAGGATCTTTGACTTTGTTGTGTGTGTCAGTGGGGAGTGGTAGTGCAACGGTTAGTGCGCTGTGCTGTGAACCCAGCGACCCGAGTTCCATTCCCACTCACGATCAACACCAGCGACAATTATCCGCCCCCCCCCCCCCCTAGGTGGAGTACCTGGTGCAGTGTGTAAAAACATCGCCATTGGGGAGACAAAGGCGGCCGGGCGTTTTGATGGCCACCCCAGCTTCTCGCGTGCTGTGCCGGCCTGTATAGGTGCTCGCTAACAGCAC